AATATGTGTATTTCCCCCAAATAAAATCTCCATACTTCCTTTGTTTGCAGAGGGCATTGCTTTGGAAATAGTTTTCCTACTCTCCTTATCTGCGACAGGTACTAAGTCTATCTCAACTTTTATTTCATAGCTTGGCTCGCACCAAAATGAAATCAACTGACACAAGCACAGCCTGTGGGATGGAGGGCACGGGGTGGGGGTGGGATGCGAGGGCTGCTTCTGACCCCTGGGCACGGTGCTGCAGGCCTCCAGATCAAGGGCATGAATTGAGTAGGCCAGAAAGATACTCTTAGATCCATCCATAACTCCTCCTTCCGCCCACAAGTAGAGGCTCCCCAGGGCTTGGTCAGTGCTCTGAAACCTGACAAATGAAGACTGTCCCCAGAATGTCCTCTTCCTGTCTTCAAACACCTACAGTACAACCACCTGATCCAACGGGCATGAAGAGCATGAAGAGGTTGGCAGAAGACAGCCTTGCTACTACTGAACTCCAGGCACCACAGTATAGAGCACCTTCACCTGAGAACTCTGGACTTTAAAAAAAAAGAGAGGAGAGAGAGGGAGGAGAAGGGGGAGAGGGGAGGAGGAGGGGGAGGAAGAGGAGGGGAGCAGGAGGGGGAGGGGGAGGAGGAGGTGGAGGGAGAGGGAAAGAACTACATTACCCACAATGCAGCGAGCCGAATGGCAAAAGATTGAGCCAATGAGTCAGAGAATAGCCCTTTCCGTTCTCTGAAAACAGCTTCGAGGCGGGACTTCCGGCGTTGCTCCTCCTTGGTCTTTTATAGCTGGTCTTGGTTTTCTCCACACTTTCAGAGTTTTACTGAACTAGGTACTGGGATCAAGGTAATGAGGATGCGCAGACTTAAAAGAACGTCATCCCCTCTACTCACCGGCTGGTTTTAGTTACAGTGACAGTGGCGGGGGCCATGCCCTGGTCCCCGCTGCGCTAGCAGAGTACGATGGCTGCTGCCTCATTGAGGCACCGGGTAAGTGTCGGGTTCCTTGGGCTTCACCTGGGTCCTAGAGCCGGATGAGAAGCCTGATCGTGTCACTAGAGTAGAGATGCCTGTGTGGAGAACAGTGCCCAGCTCGTGGGTGGCCCCCATTTCTGACACCCGGTGTGATGAGGTGTGGGGCAGTGGGACATGCAGGGGACTGGTTAGTTTGGGCTCTGGAGCCGGGAGCATTGACCCCACCATGGCAAGGTGAGGAATTCCACCACTGTCCTCAGGCTCCCGGAGCTGGAGCCGTGGAGGCTATGATGGAGGAAGAACGTGGTCTGGGTTAGGCTGTTCAAGTTTTCCAAATGCTGCACAGAGTTAGAGCAGCCTGGAAGGGGGTGACACCGAGGCCCAGGAAGAGTGAGTCCTTGTGTCACATCCACAAGTGGAAAGAATTAGTGCTGAGGACTGAGTTCTGGAGAGAATCCAGGCATCGTGATGTCACTTAGCTCCAGGCTGGGCAGGGGGCAGAGGGGCCTGGGCCCACGCAGCCCCAACATGGTCACTGTGTCACCTCTTTCTTCCCACAGGTTCCCATGACTACAGCCGCGCTTACAAATGGTACTCAGGTGAGTGGAAGATGTTCCAGGGCCTCACAGGTGAGACACCACTCTGTTTATGAAATTGTGTTAAGATTTCCTGACATTCTTTTGCTACACTGGCCTAGGGACTGTGAAGAAAAAAAAAAAAAACAGGCTGGAGGTTATATGAAATGGTTTCTATTGCAAGTCTTAGTAACCAGTGGATGAGAGGTGAAAGGTTTCCCCAGCATAGGTCCCAGAATGTGAAAATGCTGGAATATGAGACTGAATTTTGTTAGCAACCACATTTCCTTCCTATCTCATAGTAAATTTGAGCAGTGGGCAGAAATCAGGCCTGGAATGTTAGGTGTCTGTTCTGGAGATATGGGAGGTTTGGAAAAGATGAGGAAGGTGATTCGACCAGAGACCACAGGAAGGAGAACAGACTATGAGTATGAGCAAAGGGGCAGAAAGTCCAGGGAAGAGGCAGTTACAATAGTCCAGGACACTTAGTCTACTCTTTAGAAAACTAGAGTAATAAGTGACACATGTTATCCCAGCATTCCTTTGCCAGATCTTAAGTTCAGAGCCAGTCTGGGCTATGTAGCAAGTTCAAGGTCAACCTGAGATAAATAGTAGGACCCTATCTCAAGAGAAAAAGAATATTACTTATAATGCTTATAGTTTTTGTGTCACAGAGAAAACTGTGTATGGGTTTGTGTATACACAGGATTTTTTTCGTTAGATATGTTGAGAAACAGAAATATGCAAAGTTAGGCTTTTATTTCTCTAATCCTTACTTCTCCAAGTTCAGATCAGTAGTTTAGTTTCAGCTTGGTGTGTTGAAACATTTGTTTGTGAGTAACCCCATGTCAATTTATAATGTGATCATTTGGTGCTCAGTGCAGGACCTTAATCCAAACCAGTGGCCTCTTATGATTGTTATTTAACACCAGATTTTCTGATTTTGAGAGGTTGTCAAGGATGACTCTGAGTTTTGTAGGTATTAGGAGTTGGGTTTAGAAGCTCCATCCATTGACATGACAAAGTCACTAGTACCAACTGTTGGACTGAAGACACGCATGGAAGAATAAACAGGAAGCAGCTCAACATCAGCACAGACTTTATTCGGGAAAGAGAGCCTGTGGAGAGGGTCTCCAGCAAGAGAGATAGAGCCCACTGCCCTGTACAGGCTTGGAGTAGATACAGGGGAAGCTGGTGGAAAAGTAACAGGAAGGTCACTGGGTAGGAAAATGTTCTTGTGGGTTACTATGGAGTGCTATTGCTGAGCAACCAAGGAAGATAAATTGTGGTTAGGTCACTTGTCTGCTCAACTGTCCTTGATGCCCACCTGGAGATAAAGGTTAACGACTGTCCTTTTGTCAGTCTTTGGGATCAGGTGGGGAGTTTCCAATAAGCCACCTGCACCAGTGAGGGGGACAGGTCCTAGCATGGCTGCCCTTACTGATAACCCTAACACCAGCAACTTTCACTGAGGATACCAAAAGCTTAGATTTTTACCAGCTTAAGAGTATGAACATTTCCAAGAAGCATTAATGGAAACATGAGGAGAGCAGCTCCTCCTGTATGGCAGACCTGGCCATACAGGTCTGGAACTCTGGAACAGACTTCATGATGGAGATACTCAAAAGGTGGTGGCCAGTGTTTGCCTTGGGGTGTATCTGTAGATACCAATAAGGAAGGGTAATCCTAATCAGGGGATAATTATGCTTTTAGCAATCTTGAAAGGGAAGTGTGGCCAAATGGGTTTCAATTAGAGTGCCTAGATGGGGTAGAACCCATCACAAAAACAGGTATGTGACAGACATGGCATGGTACGTTGTAGGAGACATGATAGTCTGGCAGGTTCCAGTCCTTTCAAAGGATGAGTAGCATGACATAGAAACAGAAGCCTGGTACAGCAAGATGCCACTGAAACCACAGATATTGGTTCTATTCACTCTGCTACAGACTTACCGGAATTTTGTTGTGACTCTCCATGTGTCTGAGAAATTTCACCATGGTGGGAATTAGAGGTACAAGTAGTCACCTGAGAGACTCACTTGCCTCTGATGCAATGCCACCAGGGACAGGACTCAAAATGAAGATTAGCAAGTGAGGAAGGCTGCAACTGGTAAAAGGCATTAAGTGCATTACTGGTGAGAGACATGGGTGTCTGGGATCCACAGATGGTTCTTTTTGAGGAATGTAACTTCAAGGGACAGAGTCAGGCAAGGTGGCCTTCAGAGCAGTGTGCAGTTTCCTCTGGCAGTGGGAACTACTGTGACCTGTTTGAATGTGCCAACTATACTCTGGATCCCTCGTGCTGGGGTGTGGGGAGTGGATTAGGAGAAGCCTATGAGAACCTGACATAAGCACAGCTGTGTGAAATAATCAGCAGGCTGAGTTTGGCATGGCCCCAGCTGCAGAAGAGAGCGAGAGCAAAATGCAGCACAACTGCTTTTCCTAAGATGTTTACATTCGGAGAAGTAGGATCGCAGGTTTCTTTTCTTACCATGTCATGCCCCTCCCTGAGAACTGTTGCTCCACCTACTTGTTTATAAAAGACTTGCTGAAGGAGGAGGATGGATGGATTGATGGATTAATTGGCTGGCTGCTGCTGATGAAAATGACACTGCTGCTGCTGTGTGTCTGCAAGCCTGAGCACCAAGACTTTAAGAGAGATTAAAGAAAACCTGGGACAGTGTGAGTCTAAGGAAAGAGACTTTAAAGAATAGAAAAGAAGCAAGGTTTTAAAGAATAGTAAAGAAGGAAGGCCTTAAGAAATAGAAAAGAAAAGAAGTAAAAGAAGAGTTAATAGAGGAACAAAGTAACGAGGCTATTGTGCTTCTCCATCCAAGCGCCCAGCACACCTGATCCCAACTTTGTGCATGTCTGTCTTCTATCGTTTGTCCTTTCTGCATCTCCAGTCACCCCCAGTTAGGTCAGTAGAACAAGAGCTCATGAGAAAGCTCGCAACACTGGGGAGAATAGGAAGGGTAGAGAAGTACCTATACTGTGGGACAGGATGTTGGAAGTAGCAGTGGAAGTGTTTTGAGAGAGGAGTGTCCAAAATGTGATGTGCACCTAAAGAGAGCATGTGAAATGATTGTCCTATAGCCTTTCTTTTGTCAATATGAAAGTAAAAGGGCAGCCCAAATTAGATTATATCTGTGAGTACCATCTGGAAGACCCTTGGGCAACTGTCTAACAACAGTGAATGCAGCCCTACAGGCAAGGTCCAAAAGTTAGATGGTGTCTCCTTGCTTATTCACTTGTCATTACAGTGGGAGGAAACTGTGATCAAATATACCACAAGGAGAGACTTGGCATCAAGGGGACTGCAGCCTGGGGAGGGTGGCACACAGGGTAAGCAGATAATAGGTACAGAGAGATAGACTGGGTCAACTTGGAATTTTAGGGGGAAAGCTGATCATAGGATGTTCTTTTCCCACAATGGCAGGCCTGTGCGACCTTTGAGGATGTGGTCATTTTCTTCTTCCAGGAGTAGAGGGACTTCCTTAATGCAACTCAGAGGTTCCTGTATCTTAATGTGATGCTGGAGAACTTTGCACTTACAACCTTCATAGGTAAGACTGTCACACCCGAGTCCTTGTCTCTACCTTCTTTTCCCCAGAGGTTACTTCACCCCTTCCACTACTAGTCCTTTGTCTATGCTAATTCTCCACTTTTTAGCATGTGTGATGTGGGTGCTACTGCTGACCTATGTGCACTGTCCTGAGCAGCCCTAATTGCTGCTGCTCTAATGGGTGCAGGCAAGGATTTGGGAAGATGTCTGGCAGTCAGCCCAATGGATCTCCCCTTCCTTATGCTTACACTTTCCCTGAGTGGGTGACTGTGCAGATCCATGACATCATTTGCACCTAGTTCTTCCCTTTTCCTCTCCTGGATATTTCCTCACAGTTGCCTATTTTAAGGGATTCCAGGCATTGTGATTGAGGTCCCCATTGACCACTTTCCAAACCCTCCTTCCAGTCTTCTTTGTAACATTAGTTTTCTGTTCTCTGGTCTCTTGTGACCTGAGTTGCTCACTTGTGAGGGTCACTTGTGAGGGGTCACCTGCCCTTTCTCATAAGACTCAGTTGATGTACCCCTCAGAAACTACAAGTAGGGTACATAAAGAATCCTGGTTCTTCATAGGATAGACATGGTAAAATGATCTCAAAAAAGACCTATTCCAATTACAGGGCACCAGTGGGAGGTCACCACATCCTGTGTCCTTATTGTTTTAGTGCAAATGTCACTGAACACATCTCATTTCTACCTTCTCATCCACATACTTGACATTTTCTGACTTGTCATATCATCTGTGCATCTGGACTTTGGCTGCTCTCAATCTTTCTGGTCTCTATATATCACTATATCTAATCCACTGTGCCTTCTGCAAGCTTCTCCAGCACCAACCCACACCTAACGTGTTTTGAGGATGCACATAAATATTCCTAAGCTCAAGTTCAAGTCTGTTTTCTTGGGCCTGGATTCAACCATCATCTACCCAGCATGCACTGGTCCCCAACTGATAAGTTTTTACTAAAATAAATAAACAAATAATAAAAATTGTGTGGTAAGCTTGGAATTTCATAGCAGTTCATGGATAATTTTACCATAAAGGGGCAGTACTGAAAGACTGTTTGCAGAGGCGTGGAAACACTGCCTTCCTCTGTGTATTACAGCTCATCCTTGTGTGTTTGTCTGATGAGGTTTGCCAGATTCCATTGTCTTTTAAAGACCCAGTGCAGGTTAGAGGCATAGCTCAAGTTGTAGAGTATCTGCCTCATAAGTGCAAAGTCCTGAGTTCAAATCCCAGTACTGCCAAAAACAAAACAACAACAAAAAAACCTTAAAAATCCAATGCTATGATGCAACCCCTTTGGCAAAATGACCCCTGCATCTACAACTGTCAAACAATACTGTGGGGCTAGTTGTTAACTCAGTGGTAAAGTGCATGCCTAACATGTGCAAGGTCCACAGTTTTATCCCCAGCACCGACAGTAAACAAAACAATCCAATGAACCTTTTCTTTGGTGGGACTTGCTCCCCAGCTCACCACAGTTTACATGCTTTTCATAATGATTTCTATGATTTCAGGTTGTAGACACAGAGTAGAAGATAAAGAGGCATCTGTGAGGAGTGTGTCTGTGGAAGGTGTGTCATACTTGAAACCTACAAATGCAGGTGCATCCATCCAAAAGACTCATCCCTGTAATATCTGTGTCCCAATCTTGAAAGACATTTTGTACCTGGCTGATCCAGCTGTTCAGAAACTATCCTTGCTTGGGGAGTGTGAAAGCCTTCCCCAGAAGCAGAACTGGGCAGAGACTTCCATATTCAGGAGGAACATGGGCAGGACTTCATTTTTGAAGAGTTATAAGTTTTGTGTTTCAGGGAAGTCCTTCAATTGTGATGACCTGTGGAAGGATTTCCCAGGGTTACTGGAACTTCTCCAGCCCCTGAACATTCCAAAAGGTGAGGAGCCAGACAACTCTGAGTTTGGGAAGGACTTTCACTATGAACACAGAAAAGATTCCAGCAACAAAACTATGGCTTTTCATAAATCAAGAGTCTACACTCAAAAAAATATTTCTGAAGGTAGCAAGTCTGAGAAAGTGTTCCATAGTAAGCACTTACTTGCTCAACACCAAAGACTCTACATAGTAGAAAGGCCTTATAAGTGTAAAGAATGTGGGAAATCCTTTAAGCAAGTCCGTGCTCTTACTGTACACCAAAAAGTTCACACTGTAGAAAGGCCTTATGAGTGTAGAGAATGTGATAAGTCATTTAAGCGAGGAGATGCCCTTACTGTACACCAGAGTGTTCACACTGGAGAAAGGCCATATATGTGTGGTGAATGTGGGAGATCATTTACTCGGCGTGCCCACCTCATTAGTCACAGTGGAATTCATACTGGAGTAAAGTCTTATGAGTGCAATGAATGTGGGAAAACCTTTAGGCAAAAGTCTGTTCTCCTTAGACATCAGGTAGTCCACAATGGAGAAAGACCTTATGAGTGTTTAGAATGTGGAAAATCCTTCAAGCAAGGACGTGACCTTACTGTCCACCAGAGAGTCCACACTGGAGAAAGGCCTTATGAGTGTAGAGAATGTGGCAAATCCTTTAAGCAAAAAGATGCCCTTACTGTACACCAGAGAGTCCACACTGGAGAAAGACCTTACATATGTGGTGAATGTGGGAAATCTTTTACTCAACATGCCAATCTTATTGGGCATTCCAGAATTCATACAGGAGAAAAGTCTTATGAATGCAATGAGTGTGGGAAAGCCTTTAGGTATAAAGCCAATGTTGTTCATCACCAGGAAACTCACAAGGGAAAAAGGCCTTATGAGTGTGGCCAGTGTGGGAAAGGTTTTAACCAAAGAGCTTAACTCATTATACACAGGAGAGTTCACACTGGAGAAAGGCCTTATGAGTGTGAAAAATGTGGAAAAGTCTTTGGGCATAAAACAAGTATTATTCGTCATAAGAAAGTTCACAGTGAGAAAGAGCCTGTAAATGTGTTCAGTGTGGGAAATACTTTTGCCAAAGAATGCCCCTCATTACATATGAAGCAATTCACACTGGAGAAAGACCTTATGAAAACAGCAAATGTCAGAAATGATTAGAAAACACTCTGATTTCTTTCAACACTGAAACTGTTACACCATAGAAAGGCCCAATGAAGGTAGCAATTATGGGAAACCTTTCAATCCAAAGTCTAACCTTATTAAATAGCAGAAAGTTCTACTTGGAAAGAGCCTTAAACCTGAAGGGAATGTGCTTTCTATGGCATATTCAGGCTACAGAGTCTTTTATGATCCATCTCCCTGAAGTTGAACTGCACATTTCCAAATGTTAATGGGTAAGAATCGCATGAGTTCAGTCACAGGATGAGGCTACAGGAACTGCTCTGTGCACTCTGAACTTTTCAGAGCTTTTGACACAGTGAGATCATTGCCATACTCTTAAAAAGAAGCCATCAGTCTGTACCATCTTTCACAGTGGGCAAAAGCCACCCTTACGAGCTGATGCAAGGCACATAGGCTTCTGCTGTCTCATTCTCTGGTGCAAATCTTATGTACCTTGAGCCATTAGGGTAACTTTATTCTGTTTGATCTGTGACCATGCATGGTATAACCTCATTAGGGCCAAAGGAACTTCACCTGGTTCTGGTGAAGGACTGCAAGGAAAGCCAAGTATCTTTGTGGAAGTTGTTGGTGTCACCTGACAGTTGTAGTTGACATTTCCAGCCCCAAGTCACTAACTGGTAACTGCCTGTCTCACATTGCTGTTTGTACACGAATAAATTCCTTACTGATGAATCCACTTGAATAATGCTGATTCTTGTAATTAGGCTCTTTTTGTATGAGGGAATTGACAATTTAATGGAAACAACATATATACCTCTTAGGAGAGCATAATGGCAGAGAGTAGTTCTTGCTTCAGATTCCACACAATGTGGATTGCTGTGTTAAACTTCCAGTGAAACAATGCAGGGCTTTCTAATTCTAATTTGTTACCTGGAAGCTTCCATATTTTACAAAACCAGAGGTTACCTGAAGAGTGATCAGATGTTGTGACAAGCTATATTGACTTGGGAAATAGCATGAATATTTTCCATTTCTTGGAGCACATATATAATGGCAGGACTTTTGAGAGAGCATTTCACCAGATTATAGCAAAAGACATGGTCTAATGTCCCTAATTCCACTACTTCCAATAGCACTTCTCTATGGGTAAATTCTTAACACGTGGGTCATTGAAGGATATCAAAGATCCAAACTGTAGTTTGGTTGAGGATGCTGATATTGGAGTCCCATGGATTGAAACACCCCATATTGTTTCTAGTCATACAGTTAGTATCAGATGTTCTATGGCAGTATGACACAAGATTTGGGGACCTGGACTAGGGAGGAAGTATGCACATCCTTTGTGTTGACACTTACTACTTTGGGACAACAGGATTGATATTTACCTTCTTTTAAACCTAAGGTTAACATTACATATTTAAACAATTGTTAAAACTTGCTAAGTTGCCAGCACTCATGTACAATTAGAAAACATCCTTAATGTATATTAAACCAGGAATGTATTAATATCTTTCATTACTAAATACTGAAAAAAAACTGAAATTTTTTGCAGAAGATTCATCCTGGCAATGTAACTTCACAGCAGGCTGACATTACTCAGCTCACATTTCAAAAAACAAATGGAAAGAAGAATCCATTGCTGGTGTTAGAGTACTTGATCTTGTTCAACCATATTGAGACCTGTCCTCTTCGTATGCTCACAGCGGATTTACTTTTAAGCGGGGTACTCTTAATATCTTATATAAATTAAGGTTAATGAACTACCATTTAATAAAACACAGGATGTCTTCCTGTATGGATGATCACATGCACGATTTGCAGTCAATCGAATTTCCACCACACTAAGAATGTTATTTAGTATTTATGTTCTCTGCTCTCGAGTTGAAATGAGGGAATGTCGGTTATGCAGAGAAGCTGACGACGGAACTATGGAAGACAGTTCGATTGCTCAACCAAATGTAAGCCTGTTGCTCATAAGAATACTCAAGGTTACATGCTTTTTATTCCTCATACTGTGTTGTGGAAGCTTTAACCGGTTTATAATAGTAATTTGTCTGAGGATAAGATATACTCAAGTGATTTTCATATCATATAGTTGATACATTTATGCATTTGTTAGGTTTTAATATGTGAGAAGAGAATAAGGATTTTATGAGGTCTGTTCCTGAGGGGACAAGGGGGCAGGAAGGGAAAAATTGGTTAATTGAGAGTGAATAATATAAGTCATTGATAACATCAATATCAGTCCATATTATGACTAACAAGAGGGTGGTATATGTCTATCAAAGCTTGGATACTTTTATATTATGAGGTAGACATGTTGATAGAAAACTTATCCATCATTTATCAGTGTTATATTTTTTTGATTCCTACAACCCATCATGATCATTTTCTTCCATCTACTATGGTTCCCTACCCTTCTTCTTCCCTGGTCTCCTAGCTCACCCTTCAGAGGTGTAAGAACTCCCTTAGGAGAATAATCAATATATCCCTCTACTTACAAGGAAATTCTTATAAAAGTTCTTGCAAGGTTTGGCGAGGGTACTGAAATAAATGTCTTTTCGGTAATTATAGGGAAAGTATCATGGACTCACCAGTAGGGAAGTGGGACAGTTCCATTGTTCTCATGTTGGGCCATAGGCCAAGGGTTTTTCGCATTTGCCCACCCCTTCCATTAATGGTAACTATCCATCCCCTGTGGTAAAAGGATTGCGTTATTTTTTATCATTTCTTGATTTCACTTGTTCTCACTTTTCTAATTTCTATGTGAAGTAGATATGAAAGAATGGAAAACCTGTTGGAACTTGTTCTTAAGTAAAGGGGAAGGAGGACAAGGGAGAAAGGAAGGAGGGGAAGAGGGAGGAATGTGATGAGAGAATCTAGATAATATTTTTAAGCACATAGTATTAAAATACAATGTAATCCCCTGTACGACCATTATATGCTAATAAAGTAATAAATTTAAAAATATGAACTGCACTACAAGATCTACAACAATTATAAAGACAAAAAATGGTTCCTATTGTGTGGTCTCAACAATAACTCAAAGGTCTATGACAAACAGGGCTCAGATGAGCTGTTTTAAATACTTTAGATTAGGTACAGTTATATTGAAGTCAATTTTATCGAAATCTTTCCAAAAAAGTTTCTGTTAATCCACAAATGTTGCTTGTTACTATTTAACATCCTGTTAAGTGTTCTGTTGAATTATTATTAGCCAGGGTAGCAGCTGCTCCTTACCATTTCTCCTTAAGGATTTAACTGTCTTCAACTCGCTTTTTTTGACCTTCTTGACATTCTGTTGTAGTGATTTTCCTGCTATTAACTATTTTACTGAAGTTGATATAGATTTGAAGTTGACCATCCACTGCCATCAAAATGATGTGGAAGAGATGAAGTGAAGCCCCAGTGACACAGTGACACAAATGAAGTAAATGCTTGTACCACAGGAAGGGAATCCACCTCAAAAAATGAATCCACTGAAAGCAGAGATAAACTAGCCCACACCTAGGCTTCTGCTTCCTTGAAGAAGGTGCAATGGTCACTGGTCCTACCCCCCTGGACATAAACAAATCCCATTGCCAGAGGGTCACTGAAGAACAGCATTAAAGCCTGTGCTGGTAGAGGTGCTTTGGCCTCCACGAGTGCTGCTGACTGCAGCTGTGGGTGTTTGTACCAGCTGGGGTTGAGAGCTCTGAGCACAGGAACTGGGAATCATGTATCTCTCAACCCTCCTTCCCACAGGCAATGAACTGCATGAGTGTGGTCTGAAAGCACCTGAGTCCTCAGCTTTCTCCTACCAGTACAGAATTCAATCTCTCTTTGATCTCTGTCTCTTTGCTTTCCCCACTTTCTGACACATTTGGGGACCACCCCTATGCCTGCCATGCTTGCTGCCTCAGAGGGAACAAAAAGTGGGCCACTGCAGCACAATGGAAACCTTCCTGGTCCACAAACGGGAGAGCTCTGTGAAGCCAGCAGCAGGTCCAATCATTACAAAGAAGGGAAGCTTCTAAAGTGAAAGCAGCACAGAAGCAGACTTGATTAGCCCCACCCTCATGCCACATACAAGAACAACCTATACATAAGGAGCTAAAAGAGACTTCAACTAGTATGTCCCTGAGCACATGGGCAAAGTTTGGTTACTGAGCTATCCTCAGTCCAGTGGTGAGAACTATACTTCAACCCTGCCAATTACACAGTCCTGTCTGAACACTGAAACACATCAGTTGAAAGACTACAGATTAAAAATCTCCAAGCAATGACTTGGCCTCCAGTGTGCAAAACCAATGAAGAAACATAAAAAATATGAAAAATGAAGCAACATGTCTCCCCAAAAGTCAACAATGCACAGAATGGACACTTAAGGAGTTTAGTTAAGTAGATGAAAACCCAGACAAAGGAATTTAAAAGAATGATTATGAGACATTGTTTTAACTTAGTGGTATATGAAATTTTTCTGTTATGTATTCTGTTAATCAAATATTATAATAATCATAATTTTTTTTCTCCTCCACCTTCTTTCTAAGGATTGGATTTGCAAGGAACTACAAATTTGTGTGTCAGGGAACCTTCAATTGTGAAGAACACTGGAAGGATTTCTCAGCTTTTTAAATTTTTCTATACCCCCAGTTCATTGCTAAAGATGAGAAATGAAATAACTTGATTTGGTGAGGCTCCCACCATGGGAAAAAATGATTACAAGTGCATTAGGTGCAAAGAATATTCCAGCCATAAAAATATGGCTTTTCATAACCTGAGTCTAAATTGGAAAAACTTTTATGATTATATGAAGTATTGGAAAAGTATTCCATGCCTGGTAGGGTTCTCAGGCCTGTAATCCCAGTACTCAGGAGGCAGACAGGATGGCATTCCATTGATAGCCCTGTTCAAAAGTGAGAGATCCTATCTGAAAGCAATGTAAAGGGAAATATCTGTGTTTATGGCTCAAGTGCTAGACTTCATGTCTAGCAGAAAGAAGTCCTGAATTCAATCCTCAATACTAGAAAAAACTTCCACTTGATCAGCACCAGAGTCCACACTGAATAAACGTCTAAATGGTGTAGAGAATGTGGCAAACCATTTAAGAAAAGAAATTACCTTACTGTACACCACAGAGTTCACACTAGAGAATAGATGGTGCATATGGGAAACCTACTCAACATACAATCGTGTTGGTTCCTGCAGAATTCATAATGGTGAAAGTCTTATGAACACAGTGAACAATATATCCAATATTGTTCAAAACCAGCAGACTCACACAGAGAAAGGCAGTATCAATGTGGCCAGTGTGGGAAAGGCTTTAATAACAGAGCTTATCTCATTATACATGAGAGTTTACACTAGAGAAAGCCTTTTAAGTGTGAAGAATGTGAGAAAGTCTTTGGGCACAAAAATGAGTATTATTTGTCACCAGAAATCTCACAATGAGGAAATCCTCATATATGTGGTCAGTGTGGGAAGTGCTTTAGATAAGTGTTCACCTCTATACATAGAAGAGAGACCAAGCTGCAAAGACTTGTGACTGCAGCGTATGTCAGAAATCTTTTTACAACAACATTCTGGTCTCCTTCAACTGCAAAATATCAAAACCATACGTGCCTCATGAAGGCATAATTATAGCAAAGCTTTCAGCCCAAGATTCAACCATTCATCAGCAGAAAGGGCCCCTGCTTGGGAATTACCTTATATCTGGAAAATCTGGGG